TACTACTACCACTACCACTACCACTACCACTACTACTACTACTACTACTACGACTACTACTACTACTACTACCACTACTACTACTTCGACGACGACTACGACCTACTACTACTACTACCACTACTACTACTACTACTACTACTACTACTACTACTACGGCTGCTGCCACTACGACTATTACTACTAGTACTACTAATACTACTACTACTACTACTACTACTACTACTACTACTACTACTACTACTATTACTACTACTACTGTTGCTACTACTGCTACTACTACTACTACTACTTCCAGTACTGCTACTATTAGTTGTAGTAGTCGGAGGACTAGTAGTAGTAGTAGTAGTGGTGGTAGTAGTAGTAGTAGTAGTAGTAGTAGCAGTAGTAGTCGTAGTAGTAGTAGCAGTCGTAGTAGTAGTAGTAGTAGTAGTAGTCGTAGTAGTAGTAGTAGTAGTAGTAGTAGTAGTAGTAGTAGTAGTAGTAGTGGTAGTAGCAGTAGTAGTAAGTAAGTAAGTAAGTAAGTAAGTAAGTAAGTAAGTATTCGTAGCAGTAGTTGTAGTAGTCGTAGTAGTAGAATTACACTGGCGACGTACCCAACCCCTGCACAATGCGGAGCATGAGTAGCTTGGGAAATGTTTTACATAGGTGGTGACGTGGCATGGGCGCATATACTTCTGCGAGCAGCATTCGTGAGGCTCGCAGCCCCCCAAGGATTGCGATGTCTCGCTCAGACGCTCCGCTGAGCCCGCCGCCAGCCTTCGAAAGCCGCGACGGTTTCGCAATTCGCAGCCCCCCAAGGACGGCGAGACCCCGCTCAGATCTGCGCGGTGCAGCACTCGAAAGTGGGGGCAATTTCGCAGATCGCAGTCCCCCAGGCACGGCGACGTCCCGCTCAGATCTGCGCGGGGCATCACTCCACTGGACCCACCAGCAGCCCTCGAAAGCGGCGACAGTTTCGCAGATCGCAGCCCCCCAGGGACAGCGAGGTCCCGCTCAGATCTGCGCGGGGCATCACTCCACTGGACACACCAGCAGCCCTCGAAAAAGACAACAATTTCGCAGATCGCAACCCCCCAGGGACGGCGAGGTCCCGCTCAGATCTGCGCGGTGCCTCACTCCGCTGGGCCCGCCAGCAACTCTCGAAAGAGGCGACAGTTCCGCAGATTGCGATGCTGGCACCCCAAGCAGCCCTCAAAAGTTGCGACAATTTCACAGATCGCAGCCCCCCAAGGACGGCGAGGTCCCGCTCAGATTTGCGCGATGCCTCGCTCCGCTGGACCCCCAGCAGCCCCCGAACGTGGCGACAGTTTCGCAGATCGCAGCCCCCCAGAGACGGCGAGGTCCCGCTCAGATCTGCGCGGTGCTTCACTCCGCAGGACCCACCAGCAGCCCTCGAAAGTGGCGACAGCGTCGCAGATCGCAGCCCCCCAGGGACGGCGAGATCCCGCTCAGATCTGCGCGGCGCCTCACTCCGCATGACCCACCAGCAGCCCTCGAAAGTGGCGACAGTTTCGCAGATCGCAGCCCCCCAGGGACGGCGAGGTCTAATTTGGGTCTGCGTGTGGCCTTACTGTGCTGGCCCCCCCCCAGCAGGCATCGAAAGTGGCGAGAGTTTCACAGATCGCAGCCCCCCCAGTGATGGCGAGGTCTACTTTGAATCTGCGTGTGGCGTCACTGTGCTGGGCCCCCCAGCAGACCTCGAAAGTGGCGACAGTTTCACAGATCGCAGCCCCCCAGGGATGGCGACGTCAAATGTGGGTCCGCGCGTGGCCTCACTGTGCTGGGCCCCCCAGCAGGCCTCGAAAGTGGCGACAGTCGGCACAGATCGCAGCCCCCCAGGGATGGCGAGGTCTAATTTGAATCCGCGCGTGGCGTCACTGTGCTGGGCCCCCCAGCAGGCCTCGAAAGTGGCGACAGTTTCACAGATCGCAGCCCCCCAGGGATGGCGAGGTCTAATTTGAATCTGCGCGTGGCGTCACTGTGCTGGGCCCCCCAGCAGGCCTCGAAAGTGGCGACAGTTTCACAGATCGCAGCCCCCCAGGGATGGCGAGGTCTAATTTGAATCTGCGCGTGGCGTCACTGTGCTGGGCCCCCCAGCAGGCCTCGAAAGTGGCGACAGTTTCGCAGATCGCAGCCCCCCAGGGATGGCGAGGTCTAAGATCTGCGCGTGGCGTCACTCTGGGCCCCCCAGCAGGCCTCGAAAGTGGCGACAGTTTCGCAGATCGCAGCCCCCCAGGGATGGCGAGGTCTAATTTGAATCTGGCGTGTTCACGCGTGTGGCGTCACTGTGCTGGGCCCCCCAGCAGGCCTCGAAAGTGGCGACTGTTTCACAGATCGCAGCCCCCCACGGATGGCGAGGTTGAATTTGAATCTGCGTGTGGCGTCACTGTGCTGGGCCCCCCAGCAGGCCTCGAAAGCGGCAACTGTTTCACAGATCGCAGCCCCCCAGGGATGGCGAGGTCTAATTTGAATCTGCGTGTGGCGTCACTGTGCTGGGCCTCCCAGCAGGCCTCGAAAGTGGCGACCGTTTTACAGATCGCAGCCCCCCAGGGATGGCGAGGTCTAATTTGAATCTGCGTGTGGCGTCACTGTGCTGGGCCCCCCAGCAGACCTCGAAAGTGGCGACCGTTTCACAGATCGCAGCCCCCCGCAGGCAAGACAGGAGGAGGCAAGAGGGAGGCGGGAAGGAAGGAAGGAAGGAGTGGAGACCACACTGCTCTATTCCAAACGAATATTCAACCAAGGAGGGTTGGGAAAAAGAAATAGTAGTAGTAGTATGGTAGTAGTAGTTGTGGTAGTAGTCGTAGTTTTTTTTCGGCAACGATGACCCCACGAACCGATGCCGAGAACTGGATTGCGACTGGGGAGTCGGCAAGCTGTCCTGCCGCAGGACCGTCATCGCCCTCTCCTCCGGGGTGAAACGAAAACGATGGCGCGACAGAGAGGGGAAGGGCAGAAGAGGGAGGGGAGGACAGAGAAGAGAAACGAGGAGGGGGAACTACCGCGACCGCAACCTATCGGCCACGCGGCCGGGACAACGCCGAGCGCCCAGGCCCTCCAGCCAGCCTGGAGTGGCACCACGATTCAAACGAGGACGGACCGGCGTTCGGAGATTCCTCGAGGGCTCGGAGGCAGAACGTAACATGACCAAGCTTACAAGGGTCGCCGCGCGCAGCCCAACACACGATACGCACTACAAAACGCCGCTGTTTTGAGGCGACCCCTTGAGCCCACAGGGGCTCAAAAGCACGATTCCGCACAAACGGAACCAACACGGCTGTAACGAAATTGTCCCCCCGCGCCTGTTGCGCCGGCATTCGGAGGAGGGAGGGCGGGAGGGAGGAGGAGGAGGACAAGGGAAGGAGGGGGGAATCCCGTAACAGCTACGTTCTCGAGCAACCGCTCGAATAGGGAAGGAAAAGTAACGAATTTCCCACCCTCGGCCGGTCGCAGACCAGAGGATTCATTAATCGAACCTGGGTGCCGAGCTAATAAAGGGTCGCGGCTGGCCGCGGGGGAGGAGGGGACGACCAGACAGATAGCACATGATACGAATTCGCTGGGAAACGTATCGCCCCCGCGCCGGAGAGCCGGCTGCAGTGCAGAGAGGAAAGCAAAAACCTGCAATGGCCCCGGACTCGGGCAGGGGAGGAGGAGGAGGAGGGAAGCGGGGGAAACGCTTGATAACCAAGCGAACTACCATTCATTCGCAGGCCCGCCACCGCGTGTGACAGGGACCTAGGCGCGCCCAGACCTGCTACGATTCGAAAAAGGGCCCACCCCACCCCACGGGGAAAGAGGCCGTAGACTAGTAACTAAAAGAAAGAGAGAGGAGACGAGGGAGGAGAAACTCGAACATTAATTCGTCAACCGGCGTCGTTGCGACGGCCGCTGGGCCCATCGACCGTCCAGCACCCGGGCACTGGCCGCATGGCCTTGCGCCCCATTCAGACAATTCTGTACAAGCGCCTGTTGTGCGATCTCTGCAATGGGAGGGCTGTCGCGACAGTGGAACAAGTTGAACGTGTTGTAGGCCGCGTACACCAGCAAGGCAAGATACGTGAGGGAGTCGTCGTCGATGCCGCTCCCGGCGAGTAGTAGATGTTCCCAGTCGCATTCCCTGAATCGGAGTTCCCGCGCAGCCACGGCCCGGACAGATGGGCACCGGAGGTAATGCTCCACGTTGTCCTCGGCACCCGGCCCGCAACCCAGCCAGCATATGAAGCGCGCCGCCCCGCGAACTTGAAATCTTCGCGCCGTGGTCCATCTGTTCCAAAGTGTGCTAGGGCAAGCTGCGCTAACACGTGGCGCCACTAGCGCCTGGAGGCGCTGCAGGTTTCGCAATACCTGTCTGGACGTCCGTGCTGGGTATCCTGGAAGCAGCCACCGCGTCAGCTTATCCCGCATGCGCACTTCTGGGTTCGGCGCCCGCGCGACCGCAATCCGGCGGTATACTTCCCTTTGGAATCCTTCCCGCACTCTCTTGGCCACGTGGGAGGCCCATGGCCGCGGGCTTCGCGCGATTGCGTTCTCCACATCAGTCCTTCTAATGCCCAGGAGCCGCAAATTTTCCATTGCTGTTGCGAGCACCCTCACGTGGGAGCGACCATACCAATCTGCCCATCGCGCCCGCCTCACGGGGAAGTCCGTTTGGCCTAGTAGACACTCGAGTTGAATCGATCTGGCACGCCACCCTTGACTGCCAGATCCAAGCGGCTCCCAACAAGCCACGCGAACCTGGGCCGCAGTTGCCAAGTAGCGCAAAGAAGTGAAGGAACGCGCCTGCCCGTGCGACTCCCGCAAGTGCCAGCAGTCTTTGGGGATAATCCAATTCATAGGGCCTGAGGCGGCTTTCCGAATAGCCCGAATCTCCGCCTCGAAGACCTCTGGCGGCGTCGGCTCCAACTGGGCCAAAAATCCAAGCACTGATATTCCAAATATGTTGAAGGTGAGTGCGGAATGCTGCAAGCCTAGTGGCGCGTTGCCCCAAAGAACGCATCGGTCGAGGAATTTGCATGTCGCCTTCGTCCACGATCCTCCCTGTTTACCCGGCCCTTCCAAGAAACCCAGATAAGTGCTCGAGTCCTGAACGGCGACCCGGCCCCACCAGTCAGACAGTCCAGATATGGATTCCTCGGCCTGGGCGCCAGAAGTAGCCTCCCATAATGGGATGACCATCGTTTTCGGCAAGTTCAGTCCCAATCCAGAAGTCGACGCAAACTCAAAGAAAATACATTCCAGCACGTCCGCGCTCTTCGGGGAGTCCTGCACGGCAGCGCCGATGTCGCCCGCAAACGCTCTGAAGGTTGCGTCGGGGAGCTCCTTCATGAGGCGCCGCAAGAGGACGTCAACCGCGACGGCAAACAGGACGGGGGATAATGGGAACCCCTGCCGAATACCAGCGTGGATGTCGAAACCTTCGAAGTCCCCACCTTTGCAAATGAGTCGGCAGCGCGTGCCATCATAAAGAGCGCGAATAAGATTTAAGCTGTGCCCAGGGACCCCGATGTGCTCCAGGACCGCCAAGAGGTAGTCGTGGTCCTCGCTAGGGAACGCCGCCTTGAAGTCGAAGAATACCAACGCACCCGAAGGCCTGGTCAGACTGATGCGCATTGCTTCGAAGTCGATGTCGACTGTACTGGCCAACATAGAGCGACCGCGAGAAAAAAAATCCGCGCTGCACGCCAGAAACCCATTCCGCGAATATCGGCTCCCACCGCAGCCGGGCGGCATTGGCTAGAAGACGGTTGTCCGTGTTGCCGATCGTGAGGGGGCGCGTCGCTGAGGCCAGATAGTTATCGCCGACGTCCTCGTCCACGCCAGACCGCTTTTTGGGGAGACAGGACAACAGCGACAGGTTGAAGTCGTGCACCTCCGCCCCGTATGCCGCGCGTAACCTAGCAGCAGCATCTGGTTTAACAGGGCCCCCCATAGCCTCGAATAGTATCTCGACGCCGAGGTCGCCTGCCTTCCTCCACGCTTTGTAAAGGATACCGTCTGGCCCAGCGGCGCCATTGCCAGATAACTTCACGGCCCGTTGCGCGCCCCGTCGACGGACCTGCCAGCTTGCCGAACTTGCGTCTCTGAGTCCGCTGGCCACCCGACCCCGCTCATCTCTCATAAAACTGTCCTCCAGCCAACGGGAGAGCAGGGACTGGTCAATGGCCTTCTTGGAGAATACCTTGGACCAGTGCTTGCGCAGAACCCCGGTCATCTCGGCGGGGTCTGCAGTAACCTTCCCGCCCTCGTCGGCCATCGCGTTGCGCCCGGAGTACGTCCCCGGCTGGAGGCGACGGAGCTTCACAAGAATGTTTTCCTTGCGCCTGGCCTTGTACTGTTGGTCCTCGTTCGTAGTGTCTGCTTGCAGCGCAGTGAGGTCGTCTGTGATGTCCTGGCGCGCGAGCTCGATGATGTGCTCGCGAAGGATCCTCATCTCGCTGGACGCGCGGAGAATCGGATTGCCTACGTCGACGAGCGCGGCCAAACGTGGGTATGCCTTGGCGCACGTCGCCATCTTAGACAAATTCATGTCGTCGGCTGCCCGTAAAAACAACATAGCCCAGCCCAGTTTATCCTCTGTCGTTACCGCTGCCACTGCGTTCGTCATCGTACTCATGGTCATGGTAACCTGCCATATAGCCTCCTTTAGCAGCAACAATCGACCTAGCGGTTGCGAGGCCTTGTCGTCCGTGGCGAGAAGGGCGAAATACTCTCGGCGGACTCTGGGAAGCCAATCTGGATCTTCAAGAGGCGCTGTCGGGAGAGGGCTGGCACAGCCTAGTCGGCGCGCCGATCGCCTCCGCGAAAAGGCGAGGGGGCGGTGCCACGATGGGTTTTTGCACCATTGCAGCGCCGCGCTGGAGCAATGCCTGTCGAGCTGATCGACCAAGTGCACGTTGGTGTAGACCCGGTCGAGCCTGGACCTCGCACGAGAAGAATCGCAAGTGAAGTGCGCCTGAAACATGTCGCGAAGCCCATGTGGCGTGGCGAGGTGCTCCTGGAAAGCCTGTTCGTCGCGCAAGTCCCCGTCCCCCTTGAGGGCCCCAGTGTCTTTGTTGATGCGGTCCCGCTCCGCCACGACGTAATTGAAGTCACCCGCGATGACCGTCAGCACCTTCTGGCGGTCCTGCACGTGCGAGCCGAGGTGCTGCAGCACTGCGATGCGTTCCGAGCTGGCATGCGGTCCTGTTGGCAAGTGCACCGCCACCAGGTCCAAGGCGCCAGCGGGGCCGCGGAGGTGCAGCAGAGCGACCCTGCCCGGCACGACCTCCACCCAATCCTGCGGCACCACGGGATTGAAGTGCGCGAGGAACGCGTGCTTCACGATGATCCCGACCCCTGCCTGATGTGACGTGCCATCGCTCCAAAACGCTGGCATGTCCGGCGGCAGCTTGAGGGCTTCCGCTCGGCCGACGTTGCTGTGCGTCTCCTGCAGCATGAGGAAGTTGCGTTGCCGAGCTAGGCGTAGCGCTTGCCTCATTTTCGGATGGTGGCGAT